TAGTTTTTTTTTTTTTATGAATATCAATAAAAATTTATTTGTTGAGTAAAAATACTTGAAAATTTAATACAAGGCTCCTACTGTATTGTTTCAAAGACAAATGAAAAATATTAAAAATCGTTAGTCACAGTTTTTTTTTTTAAGCATTTAAAGTTCAAAAAATGACAAAATATGGAAAAATCACGAAAATTTGCAAATTATTTAGAGTTAGAAATTCATAAAAATTTTTCTTTTTAAATCTAAGATATGAAAATGTAATACAAGATTCCTTATAAGATTTCCTATATTTATCAAAAAAAAATGTCTATAAGAAAGTTAAATTAAATTTTTATGAAAATATTATATAAATATTATATATTATAAAATATTATATATTTTTATTGAAATTTAAATTTTTACAACATTGGATATTCACTCGATTTCTGATGTGGCGATTTCCTTATTTTGTTGTACTTCAAAAACGAATTACTGTAGATACATGGAAATTTCACTGAATGTTTATATTAGCATTTCCTATACACCATACAATTTTGAAAATATTTTGACTCTTTTTGAGCCGTTTACGGAAATTTTTAGTTTTTTTTTTTCTATAAATATTAATAAAGTTTTATCTGTTGGGCCAAAAAGTGTGAAAAATTAATACAAGGCTCCTGATATATTGTTACAATACCAATTGAAAAATATTAAAAATACATAGGCACAATTTTTTTTTATAAGCATTTAAAGATCGCATTTTGACAAAATTTATCAAAATCTCGAAAATTATCAACCATCGTAATTAATAAATTATAAAATGTTCAGTTTTTATAGCTAAGGATTGAAAATTTAAAAAAAAGATTCTCATAAATAGTTCATACTGTAGCCAAAAAAATCTAAAAAATATATGAGCACAGTTATTTTTTACAGACATTTTAAGTTCAAATTTGGGATGAAATTACATATTAAAAAACCTAACATACCTATTTTAGTTATTTTATTGTGAGTGTATAATACTATTTGTGAGTACTTGAAACTTTTAAAGTACACTATATTATATATCAATGATAGTATCAGGATTTGTTATTGATGTATGTTATAAGTACCTAGTGGATATTGTGATATGATTAATTTGGAATTTATTATAGGTACCTATTATAGGTCAATTTTTTGTTTAATACCATAGATATGTATATAATATGTCTTAAACCTAGACTGACATACCGTCTTCGCTCAGAATCGTTTTTCTTATACAATGATATTGTATCATTGAATTCAAATTTAATACCATCCATTATACAGTGACCCACTTGTAATCTACTGTACAGCAGAGCGACATCCACTTACCCACCTTTTTTATAATTGTCAATAAAATTTTATTTGGTGGGCCAAAAAGTCTGAAAATTGAATACAAGCTTTCTTATATATTGTTACAATATCAGTTGAAAAATTTTAAAAATACATAAGCACGATTTTTTTTATAAGCATTTAAAGTTGGAATTTTGACAAAATTTATCAAAATCTCGAAAATAATCAATCGTTGGAATTAAAAAATTATAAAATGTTCAGTTTTTATAACTAAGAGTTGAATATTTAAAACAAAGATTCTCTTAAATAATTCATACTGTAACCAAAAAATCTAAAAAATATATGAACACACTAATTTTTTACAGACATTTTAAATTCAAATTTGGATGAAATTACATATTAAAAAACCTAGAATAACTATTTTAGTTATTTTGTTGTGATTGAATAATATTATTCGTGGGTACTTGAAACTTCTAAAGTGTACTATTATATATCTATGATAGTATCACGGTTTTTGTTGATGTATAACGCGTTATAAGTATCTAATGGATATTGTGATATGATTAATTTGGAATTTATTATAGGTACCTATTATAGGTCAATTTTTTGTTTAATACCATAAATATGTATATAATATGTCTTATACCTAGAAGGACATACCGTCTCCGCTCAGAATCGTTTTTCTTATACAATGATATTATATCATTGAATTCAAATTTAATACCATCCATTATACAGTGACCCACTTGTAACCTACTGTACAGCAGAGCGACACCCACTTGCCCACCTTTTTTTATTTTATTTTTTTCATTTTTTACTTTTTTTTGTGTCTGTCATCACGTTTTAGGACCGTAAAAGTGCTTGGATTTTCTTCAACAGTAGCTTTTCTGATGGGAAAATGAATCTAGTTGGTACTTTGGGGGGTCAAAAGTGAAAATTTCTCATTAGTTTTCACAAGCGCCGGGAAAAACAACATAAAAATTAAGGAAAAACGGGAATTTTTACGCAAAATCGGTTTTCCAAATTATAGATTTTGGTTTTTGGTGTAACTCTAAAACAAATGAACGTATATACATGCAATTTTCACTTGTTGTTTATATTTGCATTTTCTATACACGATAACATTTTCAAAATATTTTGATTTATTTTGAACTGTTTAGGGACATTTTAATTTTCCATTCGTTTTTAGTTTTTTTTCTAGAAATATCAATAAAATTTTATTTGTTGGTTAAAAAAGCTTGAAAATTTAATAGAAGGCTCCTACTATATTGTCACAATGACATTTGAAAAATATTAAAAATCCTTAGTCCCAGTTTTTTTTTATAAGCATTTAAAGTTCAAAAATTGACAAAATATGGAAAAATCACGAAAATTAGCAATTTTTTTTGAGTTAAGAATTCGTAAAAATTTTTCTTTTTAAATCTAAGGTTTTAAAATGTAATACAAGATTCCTTATGAGATTATCTACCTTTATCAAAAAAAAAAATGTCTATAAGAAAGTCAAGTTATATTTTTATGAGCGTTTGAAATTCAAGTTTTTACAACATTGGATATTCACTCGATTTCTCATGTAGCGATTTCCTTATTTTGTTGTAATTCAAAAACGAATAACTGTAGATACATGAAAATTTCACTGAATGTTTCACACGAAATAAAAATTCTTGATGATAATAATAAAATAATTTCCTTAAATTGCTATCTATACCTTGGCATCAGTTTCCAATTTGAGTAATTGACATAAATATCATAGAAGAGATTTAATATTTTCACAATTTGACATTTTTATATTGGTCAAAAGCTTTTATATTTAACTATATATGTTTATACGGTCAGTATCACAGATAACTCTAATATTTATTGGTTTATTGTGGAACTAATTTGTTAATCGATAACATCGCCGATAAGGCTTTGCACGGCTCTCGGCTCGTGGGCTCGTGGCCACTGGCCATAAACTGTACCGAGGAACTGGTCCATGGTAGGCCTCCTTAAGATTGGTATCATAATAATTGGTGTAATAATACGCGAAAATAATATATTACGACATTTCGATTTGGATGTGGCAACATCGCATAAAAAATGCTATGCTCGGTTGTGTTTTACCGGGACCAATAACGTGTAATAAAAATACTAATTACGATTTACATGTATCCATGTATGAAAATAATAGATTTTAAAATAAGAAATTTTTTTTGTTTTAATAATATTGACTTTCCTTGATAAATGATCCATAATATAATAGGACGCGTCGGCGCATTGTAAATTAACGCAGGCTATAATTATTTTGGTCAATAAAAATGTAGGTCCTGATTCGCTACCCTGTGACACCGAAAATTACACCCCTGATGTATGCGTGTGAAGTGCGTTAAGTAGGTGATGGGAAAGTAGGTACATTGGCCATCGAGTACAACTATAATACTTCTATTTAAACTAATAGATATTATGTATTATACAGTTACACTTTGACACTTTTATCGGGCAATTACCCAACACCAGTTATTATATTAATTTCAGTTGGTAAACGAATGCCTAATTAAATATTGTGAATCACTAATCACTATAATGATTTATAAAAACTAAAACTAAATATGCATTCACTTGGGCATACATGATATCCATACACATAGCAGCTTAGCCCACAAAAAGCACTTGAACATTTTTGGTTTTTGATTAAAATTTTTTCTTAAGAATTCACATCTACTCCCATAATAATCGTTTTGATTATACCACAATTATTATTATACGCGTCACACGTCATAATGGACCTGGTGGATGTCCGAAGACAATTAAATATTTGGAGGTGTTATCGCATAATGGTCACATTGACGTCGATCGAATGAAAACACGTCATAATATAATGATGAGTAATAATACGAAAATAATATTGAGCGTAGTACTTGATTGTTTGAATCTATACGGAAGTATTCTACTATTCTATACTAATAAATTACCAAGTACGATATTTCCAAAAAAATACACTGTAATGCGTGAAAGGGACTGCGTAAAAACTAACTACATACATATGTATAAAACTGTGTGCCAGAGTGTAGTTAACAGATGCAACAGTCAATGAATGTTATCAAATAGCAAGTATTAACTAGGTACCTATGTAAAAACTTTTATTATTGTAATTTTTTGCAATTCAGATATGCTTATTATATTTTATTGTTAATTAGTAATCGTTTATTAACAAAAATGGATTATTGATAAACAAAAGTTATTACCTATCAGTTATTACACACCTAGGTAGTTGGTTAATTACGTTTGTCAGCCATGTCTATTGCACCCTATAATGTATACGTCATACTGACATACTGCAACAGTCATTTATACCTATTTCACATAATATATGAGATGTACACTGTACAATGTATATTTTTTTGGTGAGTGGAGAAGACCTAGGGCATAAAGTTAAAGATAGAAAAATGTGTCTAAAAAAGGGAACATCAGCATGCTTTTGTTGAAAACCAATTTCAACATGTGATAGAATACAAAAACAATTTTCTTGCATTCTTGGGAATAATATGAGCACACAGCAATATTAAATATCTACCTAATACCTAGGTAATATAATTGGACCTATACACAGCGTACAGACAAAATTACGTGACATGGTGTGCAGTAGGTACCCATAGGCTATAGGCTATAATATGCATTAAGTAAGTGCATTGAATATTCATAAATTAAATTGGCGAACATAATATTATTGTTGTACCGACCTTCAGGTTGCTGATTTCGTTTATGCAATCCTGTACGGTTTTGAGGTCGTTGACAATATTCCGCAGGTGAACGATTTTCAGAGCTATGTGCTCGTTGTCCGGCTCCACCAGCGCTCTGTACACCGTGCTGAACGTCCCTTTGCCCAGCACTCGGTCGAAAACCACTCGCCGACACGACTCTGGTTCAAGGTCGCTCATGATGGTATCAAATATTAATATGGTAATTCAATAATGATAATATTAATATTAATATCTACGCATACAACCGTAATAGAAAATAATGTACAATATTAAAACAAAGGGCAATGAAAAAAAACCTAGGTATAATATTATTATTGAAATGCTCGCGCACACGTCTCTCGAGAATCTCGGCGGGCGACTGTGACAATATAATAATAATCATTGTCGGATTGTCCAGGCCGAACGTATATAGGCATAGGTACACACTGTGAACGTCGTGTGGTGAAATGATGTGTGGACCGATAACCTAACCGGCAATAACGCGCGTACACAGTAATATTTTCCAAGCAATGTCGATAGTAATAATATAGATATTATATCATATTATTATAATAGTAATAATAACGCAATTATCGTTTATCGCGCTGAGCGTTCGTCATATCATTAGGTATGTTTTATAATACGTCGCAGTAGTTGTAGCTTATATTATATAGATACCAGCCACCAGGTTCCTAAGTACCTAAACCGCGTATATAATAATAATATATAGAGCAAGACGTACCCCCACACGTTGGATAATAATAATAATATAGACGTAAATAAATATTGTCTCCTCCGTCGCTAAAACAAAACCGACATAAAATCCATCCACTGGTATTTTACTTCTTCTTCATTATTTACACCTAACAACAGTCGTCATACCACCCGTCCTCCCCCTGCTTTCAAATTGCTGTGGCATAACTCCAATCGTTTACCAAGAACATTTACCCCCCCCCCCTTATAAGACCCTTTTTTCAATATTTATAATAATTTGTATTATGTATAATTTGGATAATGCCTTAAGTCATTTTCTAATTCATTTTTTAAATTAAACATAAATTATCAACTTTATTAAATTTCCACAAAATATGTCTATGTCTATGACTTTATTCTTAAACACTATCTTATACAAGTTTGTATATTTAAGAAATACTACGGTAGAGGTAAATATGCCACTTATTATAATATGCAGTGCGTTAGGCTGGAAGAAAATATTTTTGTAATTAGAATAAGTATGAAAAGTAAACTTCTTTACCAAAACAAAATTATTTAGGTACATTTTTAAATTGAACTAGGTTTTTACTATAAATACCTTAATTTTTGTCAGTCTCTAATAAGGTCGTTATAATGGAAAATTGATAGCGTTTGCAGAGGCTAACAGTTCAAACACTAAAATAATAAACACACTATTCTTATATTTGAAACTATAACATTTTAGGGTTTGTTCATTCTTTTATAGTTAATGTAAAGTATGTTTGAAACGTCAATTAAATACCTACGTATGTGTAAATATTGTGTAACTATATTATTATTATTCTAGACTTTCCTCAATGGCTTGGCCACCATGGCTGTTCATCACGGGATTATAAATGTAACCACAAACGAAGTATTGGACGAACTAGCGAAAAAAAAATAAAAAATAGATTCAATAATTTCATAAAAAAATTCTTATTACTTAATACGTTTATAAAATAAAGTTTGTATTTATACCATAATGTAAAAAATTGATTTTAGGTATAATCAAAGATTAAAGGTAATTAGTGACTTATGTTAAAAAATCAGCTACATACCCACCTTCCCCATGGCAAAATCATTTGACCAAGGACTAAACCTATTGAATAACGAGTAATTTACATTTTTTAGAAACTATGTATAGTGTATGCCTATATCAAACGGATCTGAATTTTATATTATAAATAATAATAATATATGCAATACGTGTTTAAGAGTTTGCGTGCTATACAGGGTGATCCATTTAACGTAAGACATTTTCTCGTTTAACCATCTACTTTTCGTATAATAAGTGTCTTACGTTAAATGGATCACACTGTATAATATTATAAATCACTGCAATAAGGGCGTAGTTTCAGAATTTTCAACCTTAATCTGCAGAGCCGCTCTTAAAATAGGTAGGAGGTACCTAACTACTCTTGGATTTGAAAAGGGGGAAAGTAGGTAACCACTCTGCTGTACAGTTTAGATATCGAGTGGGTCACTGAAATTGGTTAATTATATTAAATTTGAATTCAATGACAAATCATTGTATACCGCGAAAATCGATTATGAACAAAATCGGTAAGTCCTGGAAAAAATGAATACAGCTAAATTGTGGTGCTAAGAATATCGGCGTTTCTCGATAATGTGGATAAAGTCATAAAGACGATACATTTTGATTAATCGTTATAGTAATGTAAAAGTTAAAACTAAATTATATTATATTATTATATTTTCTTAAAATCATATCGTGGTTACCAAGCAACCTGACCTTGCATAGCACTTTGGAAAATTTCTTTTCTACAAATAGAATTTGTGATCAGTGAATTACTGTATCCTTATATATTAAATAATATAAAATAACAGGCAAAAAAAATCCTAAATATACCAACTAGCCTACGACACAATTTAAATTATTTCAAACAACTCTGTGAAAAAAAAAATGGTTAAATTATTTATTTATTTTTATTTATTCTTCAAGAAAATAATGGGCCCCACTGAACATGTTCGTGTGGGGGCCCTTTAAATGACTTGTTAAAAGACCGGGACCTTTAAATACAGTACAAGCTCCCCAACATGAAAAAAAAAATTGGAGAAAAGTTCAATAGTGTCAGAAAATTGGTACATAAAACAGCCCTGTTCTTTTATATTAAATAAAGGAATATTACTATAAGTACCTAGTTATATCTTATGATATAATATTTGTATTGCTATTATAGTACCTAAGTACTTAATATTTTACAATAAGGTATGTTAAAATGGTTAAATTAATTTTTTACGAAAACATATATTATTTATTATTAATATTTAATTATTATAACCGTAGGTAGGTACATGACGCATATTTATATAATATTATAGTATTGTTATTAACTTGTGAGTCAATTGATGGCTACTTATCGTATAGAGCAGTATGATGTATGAATAGGTAATAGGTGTAAGTAGGCAATACCATAAAATAATCTATGTTTGAAAAATGGCATTGTGTATGTAAAATAAAATAATAAGTAAGTGCCTATACGGCTATACGTAAGTGTTTCAAGTCCCCGTGAATAATACTTATGAATTACAACAAAATTGCAGGTAGTTTACGTGTCCCCCAGCGCAATACGGTTGTTTTTCTCTTGTTATTATTATTTATTGTTTAGTATTTGAATGATGAATGTGCAATAACATTTTATATAATGTACATATTTTATAGCTCAGATTTTATAATCAGTAATGAATAATCTGTATATACGAATTATTACGAAAAATTATGATGAAAATTCCTTATTGTATTACTTTCGTTTAAAAATAAGAAACATAATTATGAAAATATAATAATAATATATAAGTAATATATAATAACATTAGTAACTCAATAACTGTACATTATATAAAGCCCGTTGAAAACTATAGCTATAAATGATAATTATTTAGCTATAAAAATACCCAATCTCCGCGGAGTCGTCGTCCTCATAGACGATTTCCTGGAAAAAAAACCATTACTTTGCTAAAAAAATAAACTAAAACAAAATCCAAATACACTGTTTAAAAGTAGACATTTCACTGAATAGCTGCGAATGAAAACAGATGCATTGCTCTGATAACCGAGTAACATATTTTTTAAGCAATAAAGATGCCAAAATACTTTTTCGTAAAAAAAATATTTGATATAAGTATTTGTAATGTGTTTTATGTTTTTAGTATGAAATGCTTACAAGGAAGCTTGTATTAGAATTTAAAGCCTTAATTATAAAAATTAATAATGCTATGAACTGTTAACGAACTATATTTAGGTACCAACATAATAATTTGTAGAATTTGGTAAAATACTAAAACCAATTATAAATGTAATTTATTATTCGTGTATAAAAAGAGTAAATACTTCGATAACTAATCTATAAAATATAAAGATCATTTTGAGGATGGAAATGCACACCATTATTGCATCCAAAAAATGCATAACATTATGTGTAGTTTCTGGCTAGGTATCAATATTAAAATATAGATTGCATAAAATATATAAGATCAATAACTAGCATGCTTGGTAAATCATCCTGTATATACCATATACGTACATACATATTCAATGTTTTTAAATATAATTAAAATTGTATTGTATTTATATAATAAAGTTGAATGCTCATGATAAAATAGAACCGGATGTAACCCCTTAAGGAGGCTTCAGCACAAGTATTTTTCATACGTTTTAGACCAATAAGCGGTGGTAAATTACACATACTTCGGAATGTCCGATTTAAATTTTTTATACATGTTTAAATCCATTGGTAAAATATCTAGGCTTCTTAGGAAGTCGATTTTCAATTTTCAATTTAAAATGACCTTAAAATAACCAATTTTTTTTTTTAGAAATCCCACGAAATAATTGCATTACATTTGTATTTATTTTGGGCACGTTTGATCTTAAATAAAAAAAGTGATTCCTAAGAAACATAGTCTAGAAGTTTATAAATTCAACCATTTTTTCGAAATTACAATCGAAGTATGATTAAAATACCACCGCTTTTAGTAGTTTTATAGTCATGCAAACAAGACTATATTTCATTTTTCGGGATTTATTGACATGTACGTGCGCGTGTGAGAGTTGCTTCCGGCGTGGTTGCCCGACTCCAAGGTTTTCTAGATAATATAAACTAATATAACATATTATTTTATATTCATAAATATAATATAATATATTGTTATCTATAAAACCTTGGCCCAACTCGACGTGCAGCGATTCTCGGAAACGATACCGGATTACGCACACCGATGTTCATTTACTACTCACACATGGATACAGTATTAATTTATGTGTCACATAATTTGCCTAAATAGTACTCCTTAAAATATGCTACGTTACAGCCCCCTCAAAATAAATTAACAAGCTTCAGCCTTAAAGTATGCATAATATACAATCAACTAGGTATTTAATCGAAGCGATATTACGTTTTACTGTTACGTATTAATTATTAATTATTATTAGCATAATGCTACAA